CCCCAGAAAAAGTCAAGATATGTCGATATTAATATATTCATCGAAACAAGGGACTGAACTAAGGACACGTCTGTAGGAAGAGACCTAAAGCTCAGTTAGTTCTCTGTATTGCTCTGCCTGGCTTCGTTAATGTTTAAGTGCTCTGTGTCACCACAGAGGTACTTGGCGAAGCTTTGGGGTTTGTAGTATGTGTCTGTGTGTGTGAGCTTTTGTACATAGGAATTTATTATTTGTCTTTATATAATTAAGACCAGAATCTTAATCATACCTCTGTGGGCACGATTCCACTTTTCATACCCACCTGTAGTGAGGAAATCAGTGATTTTTCTGTGGACTAGTAGTATCCTTAGCTGAAGAAAATAAGCGGAGCTACGGAAGAGTGAAGACGTGTTCCTTAGTCTATCCTTACTAATTTTCTGATCGCATAGGGGATTTGTTTGAGTAAGAACTTAGGGGTTCTGCCTGCAGATACCCAGTTACCTGCTTCCTGACTGCCTGGTACTCCGTTTCAGTGCCTCTTACCGTGTCTTGTGCACCAGTAAGGCCTTGTTTTCTTTAGAATGTATTTGCAGAAAATGGAGGGTCTTCCCCTTTAATATCCCTAATAAACAGAGTTCCTACTTAGTTCTTAATTAATAGGACCTATAAGACGTTTTTTAAACTCTAAGTAGCAGAGAAACACTAGATGCATTACAAGAATTCACTTGTTGGAACTTCATTACACTGGGCGTTAAATGCAAATCTGTTTTAATATTACAACAGTAAGTACTTTAGCATGTATGAAGGCAAACGCAGATAACTAAGACCAATTAAGTGTTTTTCTGTAGGTGGTTGAGAGGAGAAGCTGTAGCTGGTTTGATGGTGCTGAGGAGGTATTATTTTAATAGTTCTATAGTTCAGAAGGAGAGGACCCATACCTAGATGATATCTGAAACAGATAAACTGAAAATGGTTTTCATTAGCTTTTCTGCAGCAAGGATTTTACCGTTCGTCTTTTCTTTCTTCACTTTCAGAAGGTTTTTTAAAACCTGAGGTAGCAGTTTCGGTAAAACATTTCTTAGTGAAGAAAAAGGCAATAGTCTGCTCATTTTCACATGTAATTTCCTAACAGTACATCTTCATCAGTGCATTAAAAATGTTTTGCAGCCAGGATTTCTAATCGGCCACTAAACCATGAAAGTGAGTAATTCTCAGCATTATTTTCTTTTTTTGAACAAAAACTTACATAAAAATCTGTACAAGGCACTTAATAAGCAATGTTAATTCACTTTAGAAAGTCCTAATATTGAGCATGAGCTCCAGGGAGGACATATTATTTATCCTCCCTGCAGGATTTGTAAGTCCTACAATAAACTAGGCTTCCCAGCTCTCATTTTGGATTACTTCTGAATTCCCCTGGGAGCCACTTTTGTGGCAGATTCCATTTGGTTTCACAAGGCCTAAAGGGGGGAAAACTTGGCATGGACCACAAATCTCTCACATTAGGAACAATTTGTAAACCACGAACAGAGGCAGCCAGAGTCCGTCCCCAGAACAGGCTGCTCCTGTTAGTGCCATTGTCTGGAAAGGATTGGTTTGCCATTTCCCAGATGACCTGCCTATGTGTAGAGAGATGTGAAAAGTTAGAGACAAAAATGTTTTCTACTGAGTGAGGGGGGAGCTTTCTTGTACAGAAAGGAAGGAAATACCTCTGTGGGATTTTATTTTTTCCCCTCTTCGTCCAAAAAATACAAAGAGGCCCTCTGTCTTTAATGCGAATGTCGGCTTTAAATCTTTTAGGTTTGGATTAACTCTGTAAAAGAAAAAAAATCTGACAGGCTTTCAAATATGACGCAGAAAAACTTCTTTTTTTTTCCCCCCTCAATTCATGTTGTTCATTTGTAAAGCCAAAGGCTGGATGGACTGAATGGTAGGCGCCAGTTGTTCCTTCATTCATAGTTAGCATTACAATGGTCAGAATTAACATCCTAAGACCTACATTATCACTTTTGCTGTTTCACCAGCAAACATTTAATACAGGGTGGCTGAGGCAAGGACAGCTCTTTGCTGCATTCTCAGAAATTAAAAAATATTGTTAATAATAGGAGGTGAGAGTTGTAATGACTCAGGTTGTATTTTTATGCTTTTTCTTGTTTCTTTTAGTAAACTTCATCTCTCTAATTGCTGCTTAATTATAAAAAGTCTTGAAAATGTGGTTCTGATACAGATTTCCGAATAGCTGCTGGTTTAGGAAATGAGTATTTCTTCAAGAATGTCAAAAGTCATGTTTTGCTTACAAAGTGACTGTGCTAATACATTTTCTCCACTTCGTGATGCAAAATTTTCTTGGGTGTTTTTTTTTCCCCTCCACTGAAAATGTGAATTGTTTTATTTTGAACCTGTCACTGCTCAGAGTTTACACCTTTGCTGACAGCTGTTGGCAGAAATAATTACTAGAATCTCAGGGCAATATCTCTGTCCTTTTAAGGTGGAAAGTTTACTAAATTTTCAGTTGAAATACATTCTAATGCTTTGCAAAGAATCATTGTCAGTAGGAATTTGGATATGAAAACAAGGTAAATAGCACTTTTTACCTATTTGAGTGTTTTGCTGAAAATAATTCACTTTTGGTTTTGTACATTAACATATCAAATATAATTCTAAAATGCTCATGAGTACTTATTCAGAAATTTAGACTTTAGCTACTCAAAGCTATCTATCTGCATTTGTCTGCGAGTAAATATTAGTAAAATTTCAGCCTGTTCTAGTTATGTGCTGAGGTTTAAGCTTTGAAAGGAATTAGTCTCCAAGTAGTGAAGCAAAGGATTTGAAAAAGTATCGTTGTGTAGCAGTGTTACTTGCAGCCTCTGTGCGATCTAATTACGTTACAAAGGTATTTTTAATACTGACTGCAAAACAATCTTTCAGTAATATGCTTTATTAAGTATTTATCATTCTACTTGCATCCATAATATTTTTGATGGTAGATACTTGGGCACGAATTGCAAGGGTAGATTAATGTTGGTGGGGTGGGTTTTTTTCCTTTATGTCTGTACATTATGAAGCTTGTTTTGGCGTTTTAGTGTGTTTTCATTTTTAGTATGTTTACAGACCAAGTTATTCCTTTTTATTAATATAAAGCAGTGTATAAAAAAGCAAACACACGGCTAAAAGCAGCGATCTGGCTTGTAAATATTTCACCATCCATTAATGTGTTAGAGCTTCATTTAATAATATGTTGCCTACTTCCATAATTATGTAATTAGTTGTCTTCGTTCTCATTTCTAAGCAGTTTGTTGGAAAGGAGTCTGTGGCAGTGTGGGAACTGTGGCACAGTGGGCTCTGTTGGAGATAACTTTGATTTGAGTTATATTGCAAAATGATTGTAACGGTGTCAATATCCATAGGAAGGGTCAGGAACCATTATATCCTATTAGGGTTGATTGTAAATAAGAAATTATGCTCATAATATACTGACAAAGATTGGGCCAGAGGGGCGGGGAGGTATGGATTTTAGATAAATCTGATTTTAATGGAAATGCCGACAAGGACAGCATAGTGGTATAGAGCCCGGTTGTGGCAGGGTAGATTCCCCCTCTCTCAAAGAGCTCAGCAGTGTGATCTTTCTACCAGCTTGTTAACATGAATTACCATCTACTGGATTTCTGTAGCGACTCAGGGGATTTTAGAAAGGCGTTAGTTTTATTTCACATTAGAGAGTCTAGAATGGTTCATTTAAATTTGCATTTGGTACCCTCAACCAAGGAATTGATATTTCTAAGTGTTTCTTCCTAGTTCTTGTCATGACATTTTGTGCTTTTTTCCCCTCCAGGCAGCTATGATGTTCAGCTCGGGAGTGTTTTGGATGGGACTTCTGTGTATTCCTATGACAGCTTTACTTTTTGATGTAGTATACAAAGTGTGAGTACAGAAATGCAGAGGTTTACGGGAGAAAGCACTGACTTTTAAATGTATGTTCTAATTACTAATATAAGAAAAGCAAGAGAAGATCAACTCTAGTAATTAGATAAAATAATTTTTCACCTAGTTTGCTTTTGACAAACTTTCTTACAAGCGTTCCTAGTATTTTAAATGTTTCAATAATTGTGATGTCTTTTTTATAAATATCTGTTGTTTCTAGTTGGTAAGAGCAGCTGATAAAATGTTATTTAGACTTGCCGTAATATTTCTTCTTGTAAAGCTTAATTTTAAGACAGCTGGGAAAATGGATTTGTAAATTGAATGTTTATCTAAGTGCTAAAATAATCTATTCTTTTACTTTCAAGAAGAGTAAATCTGGCAGTATTTTGTATTACTTACAGTGTAAAGAGAGCTACTTTGAAGACACTGGTAGATGAAGTTCAGGAGCTGGAAGCGAAGTCTGAGGATCCTGGAGCAGTTGTGCATGGCAAGAGGTACTTAAAATCTGTAGATCGTTGTCTTTTTTCAAAAAAAAAAAAAAAGCTAAGTATTTTCAGCCTTATAATGTATCAGGTTATTTTTCAAAATCGATACAACCAAAAGGCATCTGTAAATAGGTTTCAGGTCTACTCGGCCCATATGTTTTTTCATATGCTGTGATGTAGGTTCTTAACAAATGTTTTAACGGATGTGTTTCTTTGTAGATTACTTTTAGGTTTCTAGTTACTATGTATGGAACAAACTTGAGGTAAAATTTTAATTCTGTCACTTTTGACTGCATTAACAATTGATACAAAGTAAGTTTAAACCTGCATCATTCACTAATATAGTTACAAATTGGGTCTAAGCACAATAAAAAGGTTACAATAAATTTTTCAAACCCACTCAGTAGCGTAGGGGAAAACAGCAAAATCTGTCTAGGATTTGCTGAAATTTAATAGAACAACATGGCTTTGTATTTACTGCCAGTCCAGAGCAAACAATTTTGACTAACCTATATGAGGCAAGAAATAATTTTAACTTAAGACTCCATGAGAATTCCCTTCTTACCTCTCCTTTATGGGTCAGGCAGGTAATTTGAAAAGGGAGTCAGTAAAACTGAATGATTGAACAATTCTCTGTGTAAACTCAGCATAAAGATGTGCACTCACTAAAATACTTCAGACTTTAACTCATAGCAAGCGCTTACTCAACAAGAGAATGAGATGACAAAGCTCCCCTTTCCCCTCTCTTCCAATTCATTAGTGCCAACTGGCTGAGCTAGAGCTTGCTTTCCTTCATTTTCGTGAGTTTTGGGAAGCCTAAAAAAAAAAGAAGCCAAAACTGTTGATACATCATTTTTTCCTGTTCTTTCTTTCCTTTGGACTTCTGTTTTTTCAGTGTCTTCATGACAAAGGGCTTAGCCAAGAAGGCTTTTTTCCTACCAAGGCATGCATGGAAGGAGACTAGGAGAAACACAAACAGCCATTTTTTTTTATTGTAGGTTCAATTTTCAGGAAGCACCTTTTGTTCATAAAGATACCTAAGTTCCCTTTCTCCTTTAATCTTACTGTATCCCTCCCCCAGGTCTGTGGGAATCAGCTTACTAGGATATACCAGGTTGAGACCAAATTGCATTGGATGCCAGGGTGATGGCCACCATTTCTAATGGGTTGAATATGAAGCTTATGAGACTGTTTGCTCCTACTTCTCCTTTCTTTTCCTAGAAATTATTTTCACAAGAATGTTCTGTCTGTAGCAGAGTTCATCTTCCCTGGCATCAGGTGGTACCATGAGGTCTGGGGTGGTACCGTGAGGCCTGGAAGCTCATCCCACCACCTGTGGAACACTTAGTCTAGTGTGGTGGGCTCTGTAGGAGCACAGACGTGCACAGTGTCTCCCATGAGGCTCTCTCTCTGTGGGTAGAGATCCCCTAGTCGATGATGTTTCCTACATTGAGCATACTTTTCCTTCATCGCTGCCAGACCCAACTAGGGCTTGCAAGAGTAAGTTCTCTTCCCTTCAGAGGTGATCTAAATTGATTGTTATGGATGCCTCTCTCCAGTGACAATGCTCATTCAGGCAGCTTTAGGGCAAGATCTTCCTTCAAGTTAACTGACTGATGTATGTGCGCTGAGCTTTGAGCCAAAAGCAGTCTGTGCTGTGTGCTCTTTTGCAAAGAGCAAAAGTTGTAAAAGAACGAATTATAGTAAAGAAAACAAACATTAGTACTAGGCAGTTCTAAAAGAAGTCTTGTGCTTGTAGAAGAAAGTAAGGTAATGTACCTTTTTAGTGATCCATATGGCATTCCCAAGACTTGTGTTGTATTCCCAAATTCAGCTACTTTTACTTCAGTTGTCTAGACAGTGTGCTCTTCCTCCATCCTACAGAATGTCTTCTGCATCCTTTCTCCTTATTTGGATGGTGTTTGCACCGCTAGTTTTATAATTACCTTTTTATCCCACAATTAAATAGTTAGGAGGGCTTCATGAAGGTTGTTTAGTTACCCGCCAGGATGTCTGTCTTAGATCCATTCCTTCTCCACAAAGTTATTTTTAGACCTGGATTCTTTGAAGTATACAAGCATCCACCTAACATGCAAATCATCTTAGTATCTCTTAAGGATTTCTTCCCTTCATAATTTATTTTTAAATCTTAATTCAGGTAATAGAGGCAACACAAACACTGAAATTACTTAAAATACCGTTCTTCAAAGATCTTTGTTGTAATTTAGCATACGCTATAAAGTAGGACATGCTAATATAGTCTTAATATCTGTCATTCCTTGTATTTTTCTAGTGCGGTTTTTTAAATGATTTTAAACTCTTAGCATTGAAGGCTCAGGAAGAGCATACCTATCGTTTCATGCTGTTTCAGTGTGCGTAAGGATGTGTAATCAGAATTTTTTTTAATCATAAATAATTTTTTTCTATAAATGAGATTAATTCCCTGCAAATATATACATTTCATGTTCAAAACCAGTTAATATTCTGCTTGTCCGTCTAGGTGCACATAATGAGCGTAGGCATTTAGTTACTGTGACTTATCATTGGTTTCTTATGCAATTGTGCTTTTTGACTTCACATGTAGATTTTTAAGTAACACTTTCGACTGGCAGCAGGGTTGCTCATAATAAAGAGCCTGAACTATTTCTTCAAGTATAAAAATAGAGCAGAATTTAATACCTGAATGGCTGGAAGCACTTTTCCCGAATGTATTTCCTACTTTGTGTTTTCTGTACCAGCAATCAGATCTCTGCAGTGAAAACTTCATTATACACGAACTGGGAAATGCACATACTTCATGTTCTTGTAAAACTTCAGGCAGCATTTTCAGTGCTTAGCATTTCTGCAATCTGAACATTTCATTCTGGAAGACAAGCAAAGAATATTGGTGGTATCAAAAACGCTGGCACATGCCTGCCATGTTTATAATAAAATAGTTTTTAATCAGAAAATAACACCAGTCGAAAACAAAAATTTTGTAGAAATTTGCTAATTTCAGCTCAGGTGAAGAAGGGTTTCTCAGAGGTATTGCGCACGATATACAGCTGATAACTCTTAACTAAGTGTTCGCATGGCCTTCCACCTCTTTGACCTCCCATCTTACATGAAGATACTCATTTATGCACTTTGTGTATCCTTATGGTTTAAACCTCAGTCCCTAATTGTTTATTAATCTTGTCACTTTAACAGCTTGTAGTAAAAATAAGGCTCTTACACAGCCTAGAGGAGCAATGAGATGAACAATAAATATTTAAAAAAATAAAAAGTCACACCCAAAAAAAAAGTCCCTAAAGAGCTACCTTATGAAAACACTGAGAGTGAGGTATGTCTCAGTGCTCCAGCCTCTCCAGTTTTGGTTCAGTCAGCAGATGCCAACTGCTTTCCTGGAATTGGTAACCAATTCCATTTTCATAAGTAAGTCTCATTCCATCTTTTCATTCAAAATAAGACCACAGAAACAGTTTCCCTTGCCTGTCCTGCGGATTTGGCAGTTACCATTCTTCTATCGGTGTGGGAATAATAGCTTTATTTCCCTCTTCCAACTCTGAGGACCCAAGCTCTTACCACCTAGTAAATGTTTTAACCACCAGACTGGAGGGGAACAGAAAGGGGAGATAGACCATTCCTCTCTGCAGTTTAAGACAATGGTTCAACTTCATACAGAAGAAGTATATACTCACTGAAAAAAGAATGAGCATTTCTAATCTAAAGGTTTGAATGCTAATCTAGTAAGGGAAGCAGTCTACTTCCATTCCTTGCACATCTTAGTCTGGTAGGTAGCCTGGGAAGCTAAGTCTGTTGAGGTAATTGACAATAATATTAAAAAGTAATTTGACTGACCAAAACTCAGTAACATATGTGAAATCTGTTATACTTACACAAGAGACAACTTTGATATTCTAAACTATAACAAAATTAAATTACTGTAGACTCAGAATAAACTTCTTTTTTAAAGTGAACTAATTTTTAGATCGCTTCACATAGGGAGAGGCTGGATTTTTCAGCACTGGAAGTGTTAAGTTGGTATTTCTCTGAAACACAAGCTCTAGTTCACAATGAATATCAAATTTAGAGGAAGAAATTGAAGGTTTTGTGTGAGGGTTTTTTTTAATACAGTCTATTTCATGTCTTGATGTTACTACAATTGCCAGATTTTGAAAGCTTTCTGAGCTATGTCTAGTCCATCAATTATTTAGTAATGTAGGATCCTATTTGAGAGAACTTTAAATGTAAGAAAGATGCACGGTAAGAAAACCTGATACCTTCACTACTCCATTCACTACAGGCTGCAGCGTTCAGCTGTTGCTTGAGTCTCGGTTTAAAAACTGTTTCGTACTCCTTCTGTTTTCTAGTTGGGCTGAAATGGAGAGTTGCTTGGATCCCATTAAAGCACAATAAGCACGTAACACAACAGGTTCTGTTCTGCTGAGAAGGAAGGAGACGGGCTGAAGTGACCAACCTCTAGCAGTAACAGTAGTTTGTTATTTGGGTGTGAGCTCCAGAAAAACGCCTTCTGGAGTTTCACAGGCAACACACCTTGTTAGAGCACTTTTTGTGGAAGCTGTTGGTGTTTCTGCTACAGCTACAGCTGTTTCTGCATGCACAGCTGATGGCCACAGATGTGACCTTACCTCCATCCTCTTCTCCCATCCCTCTGGGATACTGTGTCAGTAGAGGCTAGGAGCACTTTGTTATGTAACAGAAAGAAAGACTAACTCTGCCTGGCACTAATCAGGCCATGCTACCTCAGGGAAGCCAATGCCTTCCCTTTACTCCACACGTGTCTAAAGGAGTCACACTCAAATGCTGATGACATTATTCATTTATTTGTATTGTCAGTGCACAACAGCGCTTCAAACAGATGTTTCCCCTGTACTGTGAAGACTAAAAACATTACCAGGGATCTGGGCTTCATGGTCTGCTCTCCCAAATGCTTTTAATCATCATCTTAATAATTAGTTCAGGCGCAGTTAAAAAAGGAGAATGGAGACTTTTCAGTTAATAATTAATTCCCATTTAACAGGCTCAAAGATAAAGGGATACTGTAATTAGTAAGTAAATCTTTCACACGTGTCCTCTTTCTTTCTAGCTTAACTGAAAGAGCCCAACTACTGAAGAATGTTTTCAAGAAGAACCATGTGAACTTGTATCGCTCTGACTCCCTACAGCAAAACTTGCTTCGTAAGTGTTCACTGACAAACAAAAATTAATATCCATTAATAATATAGAAGTAAAATTCTACTTTTCGCTGCATTTGTTTTTAGTAAAGATGCAGTATCCTAAACCCAGTAGACCATGTTCTTTCCCTGTTGAAAGGTTTCTCTACATTCCTAAGTTACTGCATGGAGTTCTTTCTGCTATTTTATAATTATGTAAGAAACAGCATGGGTTTTCTACCTAGTCATTGCTGAAAAGAGGTTTATTCCCCTCTGTTGACCTTTAAGTTGTTTTTATTAAAGCTTTAACAGAAATACCTGATCAAAGCTTAATCGGTTACCGTTTTGGTTTGTATCTGCAGATGGCTACGCCTTCTCTCAAGATGAAAATGGAATCGTTTCCCAGTCTGAAGTAATACGAGCTTACGATACCACAAAACAAAGGCCTGAGGAATGGTGAAGGAACACAGCTCAATATTTAGGCCTTAGCAGTTACTTTTGTGAGAGACTACTAGATCTTTTCTGGGAGCTGCGACCATGGCCCAGTTATCAGAGATTTAAAGATCTATGATGGTCTTGTTCCATAAAGTCTGGATTTGTGTATTCAGTAGACATAAGCACTGTGCAACTATACTGTAACACACCATCTCTAAATTTTTTAACGAGTATTTGCTTAGCCTTTGTAAACAGATTGGAATTTACCTTGTATCTTGCCAGCTTGCTTATTTTACAATGAAGTTGAATCAGTATTGGTCATGTACTCGGGAGGCAATGGTCAGAGTGCTAAACATACTTTACATTGACAGACCATTACCATCTGTGAAGGTTTTTAGGTGTTAATATTGAACTACAGTTGATAACAAGCCTTTGATTTCAACAAGTGCTGAAAAAAAATAGTATCTTAATGGTGTCAATTCACCTTATTTGAGAAAGATTTTGGCTCAAGATGTTTATAGATGTTTGTGTCAAACTAACCTAAAAAAGTTTGCCAAAGAAGTTCCATAAACGTTTTCTGTTGTTAGAAATAATTTGAAAGGAAATTAACTCCAGCCCTGATCTCAGAACTGCATGCTTGAGTCTCCACACTTGAGGAGAAGGATTTACAATACAGTGAGTCTAATTTGAGTGGCCTTTATGGCATTTTCTTTCAAAACTGCAAGTCTTTGCACCTTTGGCCTTATACAAGCTTTTCCCTTAATTTCATTTAGTATTGCATATGTTGAAAATGGCTGCCACCTTGTAAAATTGAGTACAGAGGTTATTTTGTTCAGTTTTTAAGAATTGCTCTGCCTTACTTCCCTTTACCAAACTTGAATTATTTTTGGCGATGCTCAGTTCTCTCTGCTTATGCTGTAGGTTCAAAAGAAAGTTTGTTTTAACTTATTTTTTAAAATTAGTGAAATTTTCAACATTTTTATACTAAAATTATTTGAAATGCATACATTGAATAGAGAGCAAAGCATGCCCTTGGCTAGTCTGTGGTATGTACTGTTTTATTTGCACTAAAGCTACTTCCTATGAAGGTGTGAAATACATTGCAGCAGCCTCTTTACAACTTACTGGTCATGCAGAATACCTATATACTCTCAGCTTTAATTAAAAATGGAGAGGAAGTGACTGCAGAAAAAGATACACACCTGGTTTAAGGGGAAAAAAAAAGTGGGAAATGTTAATGGAGAATATTGTGATAATTTTTTTAAGTAGCTAGATTTGGTATCTCAGCTTACCACCCAACAACCATCAGGCTTCAAACTAAGAAAAGCTACTTTAACTTCAGAGTTTAGTTAAATCTTCTCATTTTAGTCCGTGTTTAATTCTGAGTTTAAAATCCACCGTGATTACATTTAAAATACATTTTTCTGTAGTAGCAGTTGGTTTTATTTTTAACTAAATTTAATTAAATTACATAGAATTTTTTTTTTTTTCTCTGAATGGAGATCAACTAGATGGAAAAGCAGAACAATGACATGGCCAATGATCTGTTAAATTAAGAATTTCCTCTTTGCTCTCCAAATCATCCACTTTCAACTTAAAAGTACCAAGTCATCCACTCCCATCTTTTCTCTGCCTTCCTTCGTTAGTCATGTACTGACTAAAGGTTGGCTTTACCTCCTTACCTTTCATCTAACTAAACACTTAACATACAACTTCATTGCACTATCCAAGTTTCTTACACTCCATTCTCAGAGAAACTTGCAAATGCACACAGAAAGCCCAACAAAAGGCACTGTATGAAAGTACATATTTAGGAAGGCGGATCAATGGGAAGGCAGTCTGCATTTCATATGCATGTTATGCAATGTCTTCCTCTCACTTTCCCGGCGTGATCTTTAAACAGAAGACACAGGGACAAAGGGAACGTATCCCACTAGAAACAGTACTGCCAGTCAGTCATGCAGACAAGAACTGCCTTCAGAAAAGCCATTTCAGGCATAGATAAATAGATGGATCAATATGGGAGGGCCAAATCACTTGACCTAAGGCAAGAAAAAATTTGGGGGCATGCCCCTTTCCTAAAATGGGGATCCCTATTTTCTGTCATCTGAGGGACAATGACCAACTTCAAAACATTTCTGAAATTAACCATGACTCTGTTGCTCCTTTATAATCTTTCAGTGTACTTAACTCATATAAAACGGCTCAATCCATATGTAACTCTTTATGGGTAAGCTTTTTATTATTATTGTTTTATTTTTGTTCTAAATTGGTTTAATTGCTAATTTTACAGAAAAGAACATAAGGACTAGAATACATGTAAAATATTTTCAATGAGAAATTTATATGATCTCCTATTCTTCCTATGAAAAAAAATTCTGTCTCACTGTTGTAATACAGTTTGAGGAAAGTAGCACACAGTATACCCCCAGTTTAACTCTCTTAGAAAGGAAGAAAGCAACTGAAAGAGCTCTAAGATCCTAAATATAGACTGTAATTTGAAGTTTTTAGGATAGTCTTATCACCGTGTTTCATCCTTACATCTTTACAGAATTTGAAGTAGTATTTTGCAAAGTGTATCTTTCAGTTTTATTACTTCTGTTGGTTTTTTCTCCTCTCTTTTTACTTTTTCTACCCACTGTACGTTATTTATTGTCTGGGAATTAGTGATTGGAAGATACCACTTCTTGGAAATACTGAAGAAAGACAGTGTGGCAATTCTGAGTTCTTTGATTGCTCGTACAATTCCATTTTAAAATATAAGATCATCTTAGCTATGTGTGCCCATTTTTCAATCAGGTCAAGTATACAATATGCACTTTATTTTCATGTTGAGTACACAGTAATATAATCTAACACCATCCCGTTTGTACATCGTATCTTTCTTAAAATAAGGGGATTGTGCGGTTGCTTATTCAAAGAGAAAAAGTTTCAGGCAAAAATGTTCGTAACAATGCCTCTGTCCTTGTTGTTTGAAAATGCAAATTTGTATCAAATATAGAATTCACATGGACTTTTACATCTGTTTCATGTGCACTACATAACAATTACAAGTTAGTATTAAAAATTTCTGTCAAAAATTGAACCAGTGCCACTTAGAAATCAGATATCTTATATAAATACTGCTGCTTGATTATTTTTAAATATATACATATATATATATAAATAAATGATTCAAAAGAGTAAGTAACAGGAAACAAATTTTAACAAACCTATTGATAATTTGTATTTGGAATTTTTTCTTGCCATTTCCTAATTTTACAGTTATTTTTGCAAAGCAGTTTCAGCGGATTTCTACTTAGTCATCATTCTATTTGTATAAAATGATAAATAAAATATTTTGAAACACTGAGGTAGCTGAAGATTCCTGTACGTCCACACACATCCACAAAATTCACTGTGTTACAAAGATGTGCGTTAAGTGTCTCAAGGCTTCCTACGTTACAGTTAAACCTGTCATGAGTGATGGGTAATTTGGAATACGTGTTCAATTTAAGGCGAAAAGTTATTTCCCTTTTTTTTCTTATGTATTGTGTAAAAGCACTTGTAGCTCTGATGAATTTATCATTCTGTCTGCATGAGGTAGTATTTTAAGTGTTCTGAGGCAATGCATGGTGGTCGCTGTTCCCTGTTTTCTAATGCCTTCGTTAAAAGTCTGCTCATAATATATCGAGAAGCTAGCGCTGTGTAAGCAAATGAGTTTGTCCGTTCAACTTTCTTGGTACTGGATGTTTTCACTGATAACAAAACTCAACAAATGAGTTTCTCCTTCCCTCCCCTCCCCGCCCTCACTCTCCTAGTTTCCTCGCTGTTAACCAATAGATCTTTATTAAACAAAGGAATATTTTAGCATTCCAAACCTGGTTCCTGCTTACGCAAATGGTTACTCACGTAGGCTTCAACTGGACTGTTTGTGAGTACAAGGACTGCTCATCTGAGTAATGATGTGCAAAGTTGGGCACTTGGGAGGGTTGATACTTTAAATCAAATGAAAGCGTTTCCATAGAGTGATTTGTAATTGCAAAGCTGTGACCAGAACAAGTTTTTTTTTAAAAAAAGTCATATTTTATGGTGTTTTATTTATTGTAGAATAGAAGTCATACATGCATTAATATTGTTTTTCTACTTCAATTTAATTTTTCATTAAGATTTTCAGTGTTTGATCTGTATGAACCGCGGCTGAAAGCGGTGAGTCTGTAATAGCAAAATTTGCATTCGAAGTAAAGTGAGGTTTTACAGCTCCACCAAGCCATTGCTGCTGAAACTGTTGTGGAAATTATGAAGCTGCATGAATGAAGACCTTTTGACTCGGTGTTTATGGTAGTTTCTCAGGTTTAGTTTTAACTGGATGTTAAATGCACTGTGTTTTATAAATAGTTCTTCTCTTTTAGTAACATTCAGTTCTATGCAGTGTTACATGTCATTTGGCATTTGGTGAATGTGCATGTTTTGAACTGCGAATTTTAAATGTTTTGTCTTTTAATTGTTAAAAAATGAATAAACTTTGCCATTAAATGAAGAAACTTTGTTCAATTTATTGGGTGCAGATGCTAGGGATTACCTTCGATGGAAGAGATATATCCCATCACTCTTGGCTTTGAATTCTTTAAAATGGGACACATGAGAAATAGCCTTTCACAAATACCAAAGAATTCATATTAAGGTAAAGTGAAAAAGTAGAAAATGGTTTTAAGTTGTTTTTCTTTTTAAATACCTATTTTGAGATGTCTTCTTCAGTTCTCATGCGATGCCTAGGAAAATTTGTTTTGAAAAATGAGCGCAGGAGTCTGCAATTTAGTGATTTGCAGCAGAGCCCTGACATAGTCCGGTGTGACACCATGTTTTGAAGGAGAAGTATGCAGTACAAGAGTGGCAGCATGGGAATAAGGAAACACCATCTCCCTTTTCAGACAACGGTGGTCAGTATTGTATCCTCTGGCTACGATCAGTCGCAGGTGTTTCTTCCCCTAACAGTGCCCACCTGCTAAATAAAATTCAATATATCCGAACCTAAACCAGGCTTTGGTTGTCGGAAGGTGGTTGATTCTTTATATACACGCTAGACAATGAATTTATTTTGTACAGTTTCTATTCTGTGGAGGCAGGTTCAGTAGCAGATGCGTCTTGCAGGCTGTTAGTTTCATGACACCCAGTCTTTAATGACAGTGCTGGTTTAAGGAGATTCCGCCTCATGCTATGTCACTGCCTTTATTACACTGGCAGTCCTGAGGCCATTGAAATTATTCACGTTATAATCCAGTTTATAATGATCCAGGCTCCCTTTCAAATCCCTTCCCTCCTTTCTTCATGGAGAATGTTATTTTTAAGCTAAATCATTTCAGCTCCCTGAATTTGCACAGGTCATAGATGGAGAGAATAAAGAGCAGAAAGGCATTTTGTCTCCTGCCTTTGCTGATGAAAGCGGCGTATCACGGAGTTACAGCCTCGGTGCAAGTGCAAATCAAACGCCGCTCGTGTGAGCACCGGGGAGCAGCAGCCCCCTCCGCGGCAGCGGCTGTTCAGCGGAGCTCAGGGCCACACAGCCCGTTGCAGTACGCAGAAAAACGGGATCCAGAACTGACTCCCATCTCCTCGGTGTCACTGTCAAGCTGTAGCTGAACAGCACTGACACAGGAATTTTGAAATGGGTGCTTTAATTCTAGTGGGATTAGTATTACAGATAACCTGTGGGTTTACATAGCCACGTACTGCAACGCTTCCCTAGTTATGAATAAAATCCTTCAGGGTTGCAGTACGCAGAAAAACGGGATCCAGAACTGACTCCCATCTCCTCGGTGTCACTGTCAAGCTGTAGCTGAACAGCACTGACACAGGAATTTTGAAATGGGTGCTTTAATTCTAGTGGGATTAGTATTACAGATAACCTGTGGGTTTACATAGCCACGTACTGCAACGCTTCCCTAGTTATGAATAAAATCCTTCAGGCAGCGTTTGGATGCATTTTAGAGATTAAAAAAAATAAGGAAAACCAAAATGTAGAACTAGAAAACAAGCAGCTCGTCTAATCCGTGTCCCCTTTACTCTCTGCCCGCCGCAGGTTGGGTTTCATACGTGCTGTTACCAGTTAATGGCAATTGAAGCGTTTAGTGCATAATTGACATTCTTTTTTCATTTCAATTTATTTTAGAGGGATGTCACTTGTCACAGAACTATGAACTAACCCAAGTATTACACAGTGTAGTTAAACCTGATGTGTTAAAAATATATGGGTACGGCAGTAAAGCAAGCACCGTGTAAACATCACTTCGGATGGCAAGCAGTCTGGCAGCCCGTCAAACTGAAGGTCATTAAAACTCTGCGTTAGAATGCCATTGGGGTTCTGTCTGCAGGTTTTAGGAATAGGCCTATTTTCGATAAATCATAGGAGCATCGAGTGCCAATAGGTCTTGGGTTCTGGCCACCTCCCTTCTTCCCCTTCAGCTCTGTAGGTCACCGCCACTGCAGCTACCTGAACAATAATTTAGAGATTCTTCTTCATTTATTGCCTATTTGCAATAAATAGGCAATATTTATTGCCCACCTCAGCTGCTTTACCGGTAACCCAGGACAGCTCTTTTCACTGCCCCTCATCATTCCCAGCCCGCCGCTGCAGGGTGGGTTGGCTGCGCTCTGGGCACCCACCTGGGAAGTGCTCAGCTCTGTAACAAATTTACAGACCTACACCAGATGCAGCGATGATACTCCTGTGCCTCGAGTTCTTCCAGCGCTTTACGAGGCCAAACCCATGGCGCCGCGCCAGGGGAGGAAAGGAAGTGGCTCTGAGGCGGCCCTGCACTTCCGGGCCGCGTGGCAAACCCCGGCAGCCCCTGCTTGGCCACAGCAATCATTACAATCCGCAAGACCCCGTGCAAGTGTAGCAAAACCCTGTCCCGATGTTAAAACATTAATAATCTGACCCCAGAGCCCGCTGAGGCCTGTACAGCCCAGCACTGCGGCCTGTGGCTCCACTGTCTTTGAGGAAGACGCTGCGTTTCCGCTACCCACCGCCCGTGTCAGTGGCTCTGACAACTCATCACTCTTTACAGGAACATAAAATTGCACTTCTTTGCTAAAACTGATCAAGCTGCTGCTTCCAGAAGGATCTCTGGTGCCTTGGTTTACTAGATAAAGCTTCCTACGGATCAAAGCCTGTAAAGAACAGTTTCACTGTGTTCCTGTCCGGTTCTGCCGTAGTCGGGAATGACCAGCAGCTCTCACAGGACGCTTCCCAACAACAGAGCTGATCTCCGTCACGATTTTACACGTTTTTTCCAGAAAGTTACTTGATGAACAGTCCCATATTTCTTATACATCCAAAATGTGCAGCCAACACACGTGAAACACCAACAAAGGTGGACAAAAACTTACCCACCCCCATCCTTGAAGATTGTTTCTAAAATAACTGCGAGCAAAAGCACTTACCTTTCAATTAATTTCCCAAGTACTCAAAATCTGCTTTTTAGATGTTTATAATACAGTACTGTGTATCATGATTTTACTTTGTAATTAACAATTTCAGCATTCAAGCTAAAACCTGTTACTTCAAACATCACCGTATGGAACTTCAGTGGCCTTTCTCCTTAGAAACCGTATTTCCAGCAGTAATATCTATTGGACTGTAATGTTAATTATGCAATTAAAAAACTTATTTAAAAGGGTTATTAATTTTTTTTTTTCAAAAATGCTAAGATAGTGATTATTAGATATTTTCTAAGGAAAAAAAGTATTCAGCTCTTGAGGAGGAATTGATGCAGCTTTCCTAAGAAAAGGATGCTGTGACTCAGACTAGAAGCGCTGTGATTTTAACACGCACCGATACGCTAGTCCTTGTAAAATAGGTGGGCTGTGATGTACTTCAACAGATCCTATACACAGGGAGTTTGGGGCTGATGAAATAGGAAAGTTCAGCGTTACGGATCCTGACACACGGCATGACTTCGCTGGTTCACAAAAATGAGTGTACAGAGAAGCTCTTCAGTGACCGCTTTTTTTCCTGTGAATTTTCCATCCGCTTGCTGTGTGTGTTTGGTTTAGATGCGGGTTTTTTTCTTCTTCCATTTGGTTTCTCCATTTACGTGGGTGAAGGAATGTAGATGGGCAAACAAAATTTATTCCTAGGGCAGGATGTTTTAAATTAAAACACCAAACTAATCAGTGAGGTTTTCACCACATTTTTACCACAGCTGTATGTAAAAGACATTAATCAATCTATTAGTTTGCTATATACTCAGACTTTTGCATTATATTAAATCTGCACAACAGGTGCACAGTTAAAGATGTAAATCCTTTACAAAAGCAAAATTAACTCATTTTAACAGGAAAAAATGCAGTATAGTTACACCACCAAAATGAAAACTCGCTCATCAAACACTATCTGTACAGAGACACCCAGATGATGCAACGTTTCATCCACACTGTTTATTGATAATTTTTTTTTTTTTGGTGTGACTACTAAATAATTAGTTTTGTCAATGCTGTAAATACATTTTAAATTACAAGCTTGTCTTTACATTTTATACATGGCTAATTTTACAAATAGAACTTTATGATCAGCTTGTCCAACTCACACATGTTGCTGAGCAAAAGGCAACAATAAATACTGCTTTCTGCAAAACGCTTTCATGTAACGCCATTTTTAGGGTTTTATGCAGAGAAGTTATTAGTGATACTGCTGAATACATTCTGCTTTTCCCATATATAATTATTTGGCCACTTGGGATTGGCACGTTTTCAACTAGCCTAATTAGTACTAGTTTTATCTACCTTAGTTAAAGTTTACTAATACAAATACACAGTGTAAGTCCAGGTGTATTATGTGTATTTAAAAAAGACACTCATTTTGATCTCTGTAGTAAAAATTTTGATCTCTTCCTCTTCTTTTCATTGGTTATGGAAGTGGGAAGCAGTCAGTCATTTTCAGGATCCGCAAACTCTTCTCTTTAGTTAGTATCACTCCTCTCTCGCTTCTCAGGCTTACTGCTGTTTTATAGAACTAGTCTGATTATTATCAGTGGAATGCAAGCACCGTTTGTTAACTAAGTTAATAGCATTTAGGGTTAAAGTGTCATTTATAATGCCGTGAGATGAGTACCTTTATCCCAACATGGTTTTTCTACTTGTCCCCGAACACATTCCGCACAAATTAGACTGAACGATCCAAGTAGTCAGCTTTTTAGAGCAACTAAGGTTTGAGTATTTTTACAATTCATTTGTGTGATCCAAGTTTGGGAAATGAGATCCCAAATGAGATCTTGTGCTTTTCAAGGGCAACTCACCCACGAGAATGGTTCTGACGTCTGCAACCCCCGAAGCATGTCAGCGTGACATCCGACAGCAGCAGTCCCTTCTTTCTTGACATCTCCCTTCAGCTCTGACTAAAATCGGAGCAGCTCTTCCCAGCCAGGGCAGGCTCTGGCTGGAGGGGATACCCGAAGTACGGCGGCGACACCAGGAATCCCGACGGCTGGCTCAGGTGGACCGCGTGGGCTGCCTGGAAGCAGCCAGACGTGTACGGTGGAGGTGGCGATGCCGCAAGGCACCCGGGCTCTGCCCGGGGAAAGGAGAACCTGCGAACCGAGCCGCCCGTCGAACTGGAACTTGTGGCGGTACTGGACTGCCTCGACGGCGTCCTGAAGCTTGTCGAGGCCAGGATCATGGGCAGAGTCTCGGTCTGATAGCTCCGCAGAGAAAACCGTATCGGCTGCGATGGCTGCTTGGGTCTTAAACACGTGCAACAGTAAACCGCTACCAGAGAGCCCACGATAATGAAGGCAATAAATATGGATCCAACAATGAGGAATGGCACGTAGATCGGTTCTGGGGGAAGAAAGAACAGGAAAAGCCACGCACATTAGCCTATGGAAGTAACAGGTCTGCTGCACGGAAATAAACTCCACAGGGTTTATGGAGCCCCGCACCAGTAACACGCTGAGCTGCTCAGAGGACAGAGCTTCCCACCGCTATCGATACGACAAAATTAAAGTGAAACCCTGTAGGTACCACCCAAAATTCCTTCCTCTTGACAGCTTTATCAGTGGCAACAGCTGTCCACGCCGTGTCCCGCGTGATGCTTTGAGTCCGGTTTCGCTCAAGAATCCCCCTCCTCCCCCCCCAAACCCGCCGGGTCCAACGCCAGCACCGGACTCGGCAGGCGAAACGCGAGCGCCGGGGATGCTGTCAAGTCGCTCGCGCTCAGAAAGCGGAAAAGGAGCGCAGAAGGTTTGACCCGGGGAGCGGCTCCCTGCGCGCTGCCGGGTGCCTTTTGCTCGGAAGCCCGACGGCCCCTCGCGCAGTGGAAGTTACACCGGCACCGCAAAGTCGGCGGATGCCAAGTCCGACCAGGAACGCGCGG